CTCGGAAGCTTTCGATTTTTGGTCACATTTATAACAACCAAAGTTGATTATATTTACAAAAATTATCAATAAATTTTCAATATTCATTTTACGATGTATGAGCCATCCAGAACCAGCTAAAATATTTTTTTTTCGGAAGCTTTCGGCCTTCGGGACAGAATTATATGGAGAAAAAAAGTTAGAATTGATTAATAACATCAAAAAAAATAGTTGTTTGTAACTTGAGGTGTATGAGTCATCCAGGAAAAATTACATCATTTGGTTATCTGGGAAATTTTTTGCTTGATGCGCAAACTTATGACAAAAAAAACGTTCCGTATCAATAACTAACTAAAAAACATTGTTAAATTCCATCATTGGCAGTAAGGCTCACCCGGAATATGCTGAATTGACATGAGATATATGGCTAACTACTTTTGGTCGTGCTTTGGGTGGTAAAACTGTTCAGAACCCAAATTACCATTTATATAAATTACTTCATTTGATGAGTGAGTCATCTAAAGTAGGCTAGTCACGGTATCCTTGGAAAAAAAATTCGAGTTTTTTTAAGACAAAAACAGTTGTTGCGATTCAAAAATTAAACTAAAAAGCTACTCTTCTCATCCTAGGTTGTATAACTTTTTCCATATCAAGTTACAATGTCTTTTTATCTCATAACTAATGTTATTTAAGACATTGTTTTGTAGCAAAATTTAGTTTCAGAAAAAAAAACTGCGTTGAAAACTGTTTTTTTTTTCATTACACAAGATTAGGAAGATACTTTTTGAATGTAACGTGTCAGCTACAACCGCGTTGAGCCCAATTATTTTTGCGTAGATGAAGAAAAAAACTGGTTTTTAAAAATTGACATCTAAAGATTTCTGATTTGAACAAGGTTGTCCAGGAGGCAACCAAATTTTCCAACTTCGGGATGATTCTGAACTTGTAGAACATTCGAAACAAATTGAATAAATCATAGATTTCACAATGATAGTTTAAGGTACGCATATATTTTAAATTTTTCAGATTCAGTTCGGATTATTTTCAGATTTTCCTAATTATCAAACAAAAGAGAAAATTTTTTTTACATAAAACTTTTAATTGGTTTTTTCATTTTTCTTATCGGTGTGAGCTATGGGTTAAACTTAGTATGTCATTTTTCTGCCCAAAATCAAAGTAATCAAATGAATGTTTCAGTTACCTGATCTTTTGCCTAACAAAGTTGCGCCTAGAAAGTTGATAAGTAAATTGTAATTTGAGAAAATTTCGAATTATTTTACTGTTTATCACCACGGAAACCCTTAAATATGAAAAAAGTAAAAGGGATACCTCTCAACTCAATAGTTTGAGGTTAAACACTGCTTACGAGTTTTGCTCTAGTAAGCATCGACGGAGGTTTTTCTTGAGTACAAAATTTCTCTCAGTTTTGCAAGCAAAGTAATAGTTAAGTTTGAGAAGGCTTCCCTTAAGCTCAAAAGATGCGGTAAAACTGTTTTTTGAGATTTTTTCTATGTAGCTTTGACGGATATTTTTCATAAGTGGATCCTGATCTAAACTACATTTTATTGTTGGATATAAATTAGATATTTTAACACTATAGTGTATTTAATATTAACCAATCATGATCCATCTAACTAACAAACCACTTATTTGTAAGTGCTGAAGTTACTTGTAATTTCAGCACCAGAGAGATTTGAATTTAACTTGGAAATTAGTTACCTCTCCAAGATACCTTCAGCAGCCGCAAAAAGCCAGTTTACTCTAGATCTATTGAGCTTAGCAGAGACTAGTTAAACACCCTGAGACTAGTAGATATAAGAATAAGATTAGGATCGGTATTAGACTAAGAAGTTGCACGAATCTATCCGGCCAAAAATAACATAGCGTGACGAGCAGACGGTGTACTCTATTCGAAATTACTCTATGAGTCAACCAAATAAATTTAACTCATCTGGTCCAAACTCGCACAGCTCGCCCACGAAGAGTTGTTTAAAATAATGATTTTATGTTTTAAGTTTTCACTAATAACAACTCAACCAAGTGAGTCAGTTTCCAACTTTTCTTTAACCCGGTTGGAAAGGAAATATATACTAAACCAAACTAACCAACGCAGTTTACTAAACACCATAAATCATAAAATAACAAAATGACTAAGAAAAGAAAACGCACGGTAAACAAACCGGATTAACCCAGCTTAAAACTGAATATATTATTATTTTGAAGACTATTATAAAGTCTAAGAAAGAAATAAAAAAAACACAAAAAAGTCGTTAGACAAACCCAAACCAAAAACAATTTGATTTTTGAAAAAGGACACAACCAAAGTAACATAAGAAAAACCAGAAAAAACCAACATAAAATACTATCACATAACAGGACCTCTCAAAGAAACAGCATGAAATCATATTCCCACTCCTGGCCTAACCCACCAGAGAGGACGTCCTAAGCATGCTTATAGCCGGCCTAACCCACCGCGCCACACCCACGCTTTGTGACCACACCATTATTTCTAATAAGAGTTATTCAAGGGTGAGTAACTCTTCAAAATAACTGAACTAAAACAAAAACGCTTTTGTGAAAACAACTAACTAAGATCATAACTAAAAACCAAATTAACCAAAACTTATAAAATGAAAATCATAATATGCAGTATATAGATCATACACAACAACAAAGACGAACATCCAAAGGCTAGACGATCCCATCACACTCGACCTAAAGAATGGCTAAACACAACCGACATGCCGTCCACAATCACGACTCAAAGGATTTAAAGTACGACTTGACTTCGCAGAAAAGGACTTCATTGAACTAGACCAATGACAACCTCGATGTTCAAGTGCACGTACAGATCCAAGTTACAAGGCATCCCCTCCAAACACAATCTTCACGCCATTCCCAGACGAGAATGAACACAAATATTTCTCTACTAATACAGAACAACCTGACATAGCAAACCATTTTGAAATCGGGTTGATTTCATTGTAGATCACAGTCGTTGTCGAATGACAAGCTAACAACTTCGAATCCATGAATCCAACCTCATGGAACTTTCTTTTTTAAGAGGAACTCTGTCGACGACTCTAGCTTCCTGGAGCCCTCTTCTCCAAGGAACGAGAAAAAGAAAATGATGTTCGCCAAATACCAACGTTCATCATCCATCCTTCAAATACAGAAAGAAAGATAAAAACTCAAAAGATTGTAAACCCCGGGTGGGTGGAACCTGATCTAAATTACATTTTTTTATTGGATATAAATTAGATATTTCATCACTATAAAGTATTTAATATTAACCAATCATGATCCATTTAACTAACAAAGCATTTATTTGTAAGTTATGAAATTACTTGTAATTTCAGCACCAGAGAGATTTGAATTTAGCTTAGAAATTAGTTACCTCTCCAAGAGAACTTCAGCAGCCGCAATAAGCCAGTTTACTCTAGATCTATTGAGCTTAGCAGAGACTAGTTAAACACGTTGAAACTAGTAGATATAAGAATAAGATTAGGATCGGTATTAGACTAAGAAGTTGCACGAATCTATCCGGCCAAAACTAACATAGCGTGACGAGCAGACGGTGTACTCTATCCGAAATTACTCTATGAGTCAACCAAATAAACTTAACTCATCTGGTCCAAACTCGCACAGCTCGCTCACGAAGAATTGTTTAAAATAATGATTTTATGTTTTAAGTTTTCACTAAAAACAACTCAACCAAGTGAGTCAGTTTCCAACTTTTCTTTAACCCGGTTGGAAAGGAATTATATACTAAACCAAACTAACCAACGCAGTTTACTAAACACCATAATCATAAAATAACAAAATGACTAAGAAAGAAAACCCACGGTACCCAAACTGGATTAACCCAGCTTAAAACTGAATAATTTATTATTTTGAAGACTGTTATAAAGTCTAAGAAAGAAATAATAAAACACAAAAAAGTCGTAAGACAAACCCAAACCAAAAACAATTTGATTTTTCCAAGAGACCGACTCGTAATAAAACCAGTATACTCTTGAGAGTAAGGGATATAAGAGTAAGATTAAGACCGGTATTAGACTAAGAATTGCACGAATCTATCCGGCCGAAAAAAAGTTAGCGTGACGAGCAGACGGTGTACCCTATCCGAAATTACTCTATGAGTCAACCAAATAAACTTAACTCATAAGTAATCTACTTCTTCAGTTTTTGGAACAAAAGTAATAATTTTTTTTCTTTATCAAGTTTGTTGAGTATTTGAGAACTTTTACTTCCGTGCAAAACCCATATAAATTTATTGAATTTCTTTTTTAGGCAAAAAAATAATTTTAGGCAAAAAAAATTGATAAAATGATTTGCTTATCTAAATGGAGTTACCGTATGTCGTTTTTTCCACAGTTTATAATCTGTATGAAAAATTGGTCGGTGTCGGTTTCAATATCGAGTTTGTCAGTGCGGGTGTTTTTCTCTGGTATCAAATCGACAACGCTTGACGTAAAAATTGTAAGTTTGAACTTAAAATCTGTTCTTTTTATCAAATTTTCTTCAAATGTTAGTTTTTTGCTGACATGCAATTCGACAGTCTGAAAAAACTAACGGCTTTAACAAATACAACAATAGTAGTGTAGTATCTTCTTAGATTTATGTGTGAAACACCTCTGCAGGGGGAAACAATTCACACTGGACTGCTAAATCTTTGAAACAGGAAAAGGACTCTAGCAAAAAAACTTTTCCTGGGCAGAAAATCACTTGTCCGATATCATATCATCCATGAAAAAGTTTCTTTGATTTTCTAGAAGCCTTGATTCCTGTTTTTCAGTGCGACATTGGCTTTCTAAGGATTGACTCAGATTACGTCCTATTACAAAACGGTTAACTATTAATTTTTTCAGCTCTACACACAAGATACTGGCCCGTGGAAGCAGCTGTGGCACGAAGGTTCGCAAACAAAAAGTTCGCCAAAAAACGTGAAAAATTGAGTTGCTACACTGGCAAAAATCTAATTTTATCAGTGAAAAAAAGTTAGTTTCGGCAGAAAATACCCTCTCTGAATCTATATAGGCAGTGTGCAGGAAAAAGTTTCTTTGATTGTTGAGGAACCTTGATGAACTACTTTCTCCAGGTCCCCATCGAACTCTAGCTTCTGCAAAACAACGATATCTGTACGGAAGCTCAGATCCGCCCAGCGATTTGTAAAACTGTTGCAATAGATTGACTTCAGCTAAACTGAACTGCCAGTAAACAAGTGACGATGAGCCATTTAGATATCTATAACCAGCAACCTGGTCCAATAAAAGCAGCGCTTGTTCATCTCTATGTTCCTGCAGAGCCGAAATGGTCGGTTGGTTATAATAATTCATCAGGCTTTTGTACATCGAGCGCATTGTTTGCTGTGATTGCGAAAGTTTAATGAAGCTAATTACATACCTGACGACTCTTCTAGCTGTTTTCACGTCTTCGGTCTGCAAATCTTTTTCTACCAGTTTTCTCAAAACTCCGATGAAACCAGCGCCTGCAAGATACCACTGTTCATCCGAGAGCATACCTATTTCATACTTTGTCAAATTTCGTTCCAGGGTAACAAATTCAGCCAGAAGAATTTGCCGTTCCAACATCAGATTTATCTCACCCTCGTGCTGTGCCATAAACATCAATTCGGTTTGAGCATAGATTTTTTGAATAATTGCGTTTTTTGCATCTTCAACTGCTTCCACTATGATATTTTGAAGTGTTTCAGTTTGATCGTCGATTTTTTCGATGACAGCATTTTTTGCATCTTCAACCGCTTCTGTAACAATTTCTCGCAGCGGTTTTTCTTCTTTTTTGCTGACCGCGCCAAAAATTGAGCCACCCAGGCTGAAGAGCGAAGTGGCTATTGATCCCCCAGGTATAAGAGATATAACAGGTCCAAAACACTGAACGGCTTCGCAAATAGTTCCAATTTTTTCAAGAGTGCTTGAGCGGTGGAAATTTTTGAAGCTTTTCACACTACCTGCGATCCCGTCGATAACCTTTGATATTGATTCATTTCTCTTAACAATTTCAGAATTTTTATGTCTTCCATTTTGTTGATATTGCGTTGTTGATGCCTCTTCGATTACGCTCTTGCATTCCGGTATCATCCTCTATTGACTCCAAGTGGGAAATCAATTGAGCCATCGTTTCCCGCTGCATCCGGCTGTCGAGACCGATTTGGTGTATAGTTTGATTCAACTGCAAAACTTTATTGATCTCTTCCGCCATGTATAGGCTGCTTTCGTTCTTTGCAACCAGGGGTTGGCCGACAGGATCATCGTCATCAACAATGATGCTTCTCAACGCTGCTACGAGATAAACCAGCAGCTTGACCATCTCAACTCCTTTCACGAATTGTCTGTTTCTGGAAATCCTGAATTGACTGTTGCGTAAATTCCTCAATTCAATAGCAGTTTTTAGGAAGCGTGGAGAGGGTTGAAGGCAGGAGAAGGGGAAGGGGGTGGTCGGGTGGTGATAGATGGACGCTCCCCTCTTCCTTTCAGGAACCCGACCCCCCATTTGCGGCACTAATCTTAAATCCAGTTTAAAAGAAACCCTTATACATCTGAAAGCTTAGTGGCGCCTTATTTTTTTAATGAAGAAGCGCTCATCGAAAAATGCGGCGTTTGTGACAATTTTTGGCCTTTCTGGCAGTTTGTTACATAATATGACTACTGATCAGAAAATGGAGTCATCAAAACCTACAAAATTAAACATGATGGGTCGATTTTGTTTAGAATCGTTTGCTTCACTGAGCTTTTTTTCTGAAATTGCCTGAAATGACTACTGGCTGTTTTTTATATTTTTGACAAGAAGATGATCAGTTTTGGACTTTGGCTTTTCGTGATTCTTTGAACCATCGTAATTTTTCAGTGGTTTTCCTTTTTAGAAACTTTTTCAAGAAAATTGAATGTTTTTTAAATAACCAAATTGCTCTTTCTGTTCTCCAAAAAAGAGTTTTTACATCTTTTGTGGATTGGTTTTGATGATGCATTTGATGATACCACCAAATTAGTAAATTTGATAATATCATCAAACATTGATTATTTATTAAATTTAGTAAATTCTTAGTTTTTGTGTTCGCCTTTCTGTTCAATTTCTGTTGAAAATTTTTTCAGGAGATTATAGAAAAATGTAAAGTAAAAAAAGAGAGTAACCTTTTTCTAAGCTTATCTTGAAGAAAAAATGCTGAAAAAATGCTCAAAAACTTGAGAAGAGAAAAAATAGCGTCCATCCGCCTCCTCCGACAACCCCAATTCAAATACTGGGTTAGGAGTAGCTTTGGATATAGATGAAAAATTGGGTAAAATGCAGAAACTTGGATTTAATTCTTGAGGTTTTAAATAATCAAAAGCTGTAAGGTAAGTTTCAATAAGATAAAAGATACGGGTAATCTCTTGATCAGAAAATCAGATTTAAAAGGAAATCATGAACACGCTATTTGCTGTAGGGTAGAGACTTTGTTTACGCGAGAAGGTAAATTAAATTTCGAATGAGTCGATTATAACTTTTCAGTTGCAGCAAAAAAAGGTCAGATATTTGTTTCGAGATGCCAAGTCCGAATATTCGGCGTCAATAAAATTCTGGCTAAGCATCGAGTCAATTTGAACAAGATAGGTTTACTAGTTTTCAAATCGCGTCTTATCGAAAAAGCCCAACCGTTGAGTCAAGATTAACCTCGTGACAATTTGGACCTTAATTTCAGAAATTCAAATTCCAAACTTGTCAAAACAGAATCCTCAGTTTTACTCAGCAAAATTATTTGAGAACGATAGTATAATCTCTCAGGAATTTTAGGTCAAATACTGGCTCTGGATAGCTACTGACCTTAAACTATATGTGATCACTTTTATATTAGTAGATTGGTACCACAAAATACGAGTACCTCTAATGAGAACCTCGATTTTGACGGAACCATAAACTTCAAATTATGCAATCGTGTTTTTACAAAACGAATTATAGTGTAAATTTCAAAAATGATTAAAAAATTAGAAAGCATCGAGGACTTCCATTGAGCTTCAAAGCGTTTCGAGAGAAGCCCCGAAAAAAACTTGATTGCAATCGGTTGATGTGTGGGAGTACAAACGCGAAATGATCTATACCCGCACCGAGCGCGCATGGATTCTAATCGATTAAAATGGATTCCCGAGCCGAAAATAATCGATTATAATCCATTACGGATGTAAAATTCAGACCACGAAATCGATTATTTAGTCATTATAATCGATTATTTTCGAACAAATATTATCCATTATAATCCATTATAATCGATTTTGTTTTTGTCACTGAAATCGATTATTTTTGCCAAGATAATCCATTATAATCGATTATTTTGAAATGAAAATCAATTATAATCCATTTCATTTTTAGAACTAAATTCGATTAATTTTGCAAAACTTTGCAAATTTTGCGAGAAGTTTGCGGAATTTATGCCCTGTCTTTTACTAAATGCCATGTCTCAACTTAGTCCACTCGCCCCCTCAAGCTTTTTACCCCCTCCCCCCACCCCCTCCCCAAAGGGGCAGGGTAAACTGGGGGGTATAAACTGGGGGGGGGGGGGGATGGGGAAGTTAACCAGGGGGTTGGAGGGTTAAATAAATCTGGGGGAAGGGGGAGTAAATAAACTGAAGGGGTGGGGGTAAATAAACCGGGGGAGGAGGGTTAAACTGGTCATCCCCTCGCCCACTCAATTTCTTAACACCCCCCCCCCCCCCCCCAGCTAAAGGGGCACGATAAACTGGAGGGGGGGGGGGGGTAAATGATGGGAGGGGTAAACGAGGGGGGGGGGGGGGTAGTAAACTGGTGGGTGGTAGTATACTGGGTACTGGGGGCTTAACTTGCTGGGGGGGGGGGGTAAAATTAAGTGTTAAACTGCGATGAATTAGAAAAAGTTGAGACAAAAAATATATAATTTTTTTCTTAAATGTAACATTTTATGAAAAATTTTACGTAGCAACTACACTAAACAGGAAATGAACTAATTTTGAACAAAATTGTAAATTTCATAAAAAACCCCTCAAAAAAATCCATTATAATCGATTATAATCGATTATAATGGATTTTATTGGGATAAAAAAATATTAGGATTATAATCCATTCTTAATGGATTATAATCGATTGTTTTGTCATTTTATAGATGCTGACCATATTATGACAATACAATCGATTATGATCCATGGGCGCTCGGTGCGGGTGAAAACCAATCCAAAAGATTTGCGTTTTTACTGAATAAAGAACGCTGATCTTTTTGCGCAAAACTATTATTCACGTTCTGTTTTTCTATCAACTTTTCCGATAAAAAGTTATTGAAAGTTAGGAAGAAGTTATAAGACTCAAAAATAGTCAACTAGATCAATAAGTTCGGTACTCGTTTGAATGCTAGGCAAAGTAAGCATGTTTTTACAATGAGCACGAGTAATTGGTCTAGTATGAGAATCCACAGAAAATGGTCTTTTTCAGCAAAAAAAAATTAATTTGTTCTTAATTCAACACTGGTCTGTTTCAGCAATTGATTCAAAATTGAATCAAAAACTGGTTTGGTATTTGTTTTACCCAGATTTGTTCATTTGTTGAGGCGTAGCGACCCTCTGAGGGTCTTGCCGGCTGCCAGTCAAAGGTTGTAGTTTGTAGTCGTATGGAATAGATAGACATCTTGAGGCATGTATTGCCGGTCTACACTTTTAGTGCAAAACTGTATGCTCACGTTCTGTTTTTCTATCAACATTTCTGGTAAAAGTTTTTTGAAAGGTAGGAAGAAAATATAAAACTTATAAATCGTCACCTACATCAAAACTTTTTTGGTACTCATTTGCATGCTAGGCAAACTAAGCATGTTTTTACAATGAGCATGAGTACTTTGTCTTGTTTGAAAATCCGCTGAAAATAGTATTTTTCAGCAAAAAAAAAGATTCAATTGTTCTTAATTCAACACTGGTCTGTTTCAGCAATTGATTCAAAAATATATCAATATCCGGTTTGGTATTTGTTTTACCCACATTCGTTCATTTGTTGAGGCGTAGCGGCCCTTTGAGGGTCTTGCCTACTATAAGTCAGAGTTTGTATTCGTACAGAATTGACATCAGTAGGGCATTTATTACCGTCCCACGCTTCGCTTTTGTCTGAAGTTTGCACCCGAAGTGTGCAAATCTGCAGATAAATTTCTGGTGTGATTGTGGAGGGGGCTCCGGTGGAAGAGGCTCCGGTTCCAGTTCCTCTTGAGACTCTTGATTCGCTGTGATCTTTGAGCTCGTTATAACCGTTCTACGGAGTTTGCATCGTGAGGAATGAATGTGAGGCATGAATGTTTTACTAAAAGAACCTCTCATTCATGTTTTTCACATGCATTTCACTTATTGAGCTAAAATTGATTCAAAGCCTATATAAAATGTTTGGCTTACTTACAATTCAAGAAAAAACATCAAAGCCAAATGTTGTTTACTAAATCAATCGTAAGTGAGAATAAAAAAATGGTGTTTTTCAGCAAAAAAAAAGATGTAAGTTTTGGTATTTGTTTTACCCATATTTTCTAAACACTGTTTTATCAAAAACATGCATTTCACTTATCGAGCTAAAAACTAATTCAAAGCTCATATAAATAGTTTGGCTTACTTACATCTTAGGAAAAGCAATAAAGCCAACTCTTGGTTACTAAATCTATCTCAGCTTGAGAACAAAAAACTGATTCCCTTAACAACCCTTTTATAGCAACGGTGGAAATTTCGTTACAAAGTAAGAAGTTTAATTTGAGACGACAACTGACTGACTGCGATAGTTTGCACTTATTCGACAGATCAACAACTCGCCGAAAACAAAAACTGACAATTTTTTGCAAAAGCGAATTTGCGCTTTGGCCGATTTTATTTATTATGCCGCAGTCGGGCTGATATTTGTTGCGTGTTTACGGGAAACGAGAAATTACTAGTTTAGGTAATTTCTTGGTGGTTATCGGCGCAAAGCTACTCAATAACTTAAGCTACTTCTTGTCGCTAGATGCAAGTTTTCACTTTATCTCAAAACTATTCAGAGTCACTTTTGATGAACTGTTTGCTTCGCCAGAAACGACATGAGCGAAGCCATTGATTTTTGCTCCATAGGCATGGCCAGGTTTCACTAGTTGCCAATAGAGGATTGTATTTTGAGAAACGTAGGAAGTCATAATTTTTTTATTCATCGCCAACATACAAAAGTATCAAAACTGCTAGTACCAGGGAGAAACCCTAAAGGTGTCAACTGCTCCTTGTAATCTATGAACTCTCCACTAAACAGTTTTAGTATTCTTCAAACCAATTTTTAGAATAAGTAAAAGAAGTTGTCAAAAAACCCTTAACAATGTAAAAAGACTTCAAATAAGATTTTTTTAACCATAATGAGTTATAGGCCAAAAAATGATCACAAAAGCAAGAGAAGGCTGGTTGGTTGCCGCGTAATTACCACAGAATTTT